AAACAATAGACATGAGTTAACGGTTTTTTGTCGACATCATCAAATTCATGGTTTGAATAATTAGCTAAAAACAAGCATACAATATAATAACTTTTATAATCCATAGCCCAAATAAATAGTTTAAATACCCTACAAAAAGATAACCCTTTATGAAGTCGTCAAAAAACAAATGTTACGGCAGTTTTCTTTTGTTTTTTTTATATGCACAAATCCCTTTCATAAAGAAATAAAATAAATAAATCTCCATAGACACGTAAACCAGACTAGGCTAAAACATCTTCCGTTTCAAATTTAGACACCCCCACCTTACCCTGACTTGACATCTATGAAAGTATCTCTATACTGATACTTATTATTAACACCCAACACTCGCCTACCCAATTTAAACAATTCGCCCTAGCCGTTACCATGGAAATTTTGATTTCAATTATTGAAACACGTAAATTTCAGAAATACGTTATTCAAAAAAAAAAAAAATTCGCTTGAAGATGGAACAGAGCTTACTTTAGCTCAATTTAATTCAAATAATTATATTGAAGTTTTCAGCTCTTGTTTTGAAACATGAGACCTCTTATGTCGCGAGTTGGAATCATATTTTAAATAAATAATTATATATATATATATATATATATATGCATACATACATACCTCATATATATTCATACACACCCCATACATATTTGTGTAAATATATATATATATATATATATATATATATATATATATATATATATATATATATATACCTGTATACATACTCAAATACATTGACATGTATCGATACATATACATACATAACCTTATATATACACACACATATATATGTAGGGGACCGTGGGGTTTGCGAGTGTTGTTGGATTGAAAACACGTGCTGTTTATTCCTTCTAGAAGAAGGCCCAACTACAAGAAAACGGTGGACTCAAATTGAGTCCAACCGACGATGTAAAGAAAACAAAGAAGACCGGTGTATACATGTCAGCAAATATATGTATAAAACAACAAGTGACAAAGGCATTAACATTTGTTTTTGTGTGTGAACGTAAAGTGTTTGTTCTTTGGTGAATGTTCGTACGTACGTTTATGTGTGTTTAATGTTCACGGCGTCTTCCACAAAATTTGAAGACGCAGATCTCTACGAGAGTTTACATTTTTAGTCCGCTGAAATGCAAAGTGAAAAAAAGAAGGAGGCAAGAAGTCGCCCAGTATTTATAGTGTAGAGAGAGCGACCCCTAGTGAACAATTAGGGAATTAACGAGGAGCTAACTAAGACATATATATATATTTACATATACATATTTACACACGCATCCATATATATACATATTTAAATTTTCTTTTAAAGTTTACAGTTAACGTTAGATAGTGATTTAAGTGTTTAAATTCTCAAAAAAAAAACTTCTATTTTTAATATTGTGAATAATGCTTAAGGAGTAATATTTCTTAATTAAATCTAAGTGATCAATTTAATTTGAAAATATTTCTAGATGATTAATATTTCTAATTCTTCAAATCTAATTAAAAACTACTTCTAGATGAAGATTAGAAGGTAATAAACAAATTATTGTCTTTACATTAAATCTATATATATACACAAACATACACGCATATATACATAGAAAAACGCTTCGTTTGTAAGGTAGAGGTTGAAGGGTGTAAAATGATTTATCACCCACAAGGTAACGGAGACGGTTTTAGACTCTCTCCTGTCTGGAGAATGTAGACAAGCTATAGCTCATCCATGGCCGAAGTGCTTGATTTTCGTCTAGATTTGCCTATTTAAATGTTAAACCCATCAAGGGGCAGTCAGGAATTTACTGTAGCGGTACAGAGAACTGACTATTCATTGGAGACATCGATTAGAATACTGGACTGCCATGCAATATCAGTGAACGTTAAACTGTTTCTCTAACACGAGAGAAAATGGCTTACTTCCTCACAAGATATATTGAAGGCCATAGTCGTAAAGGGAAGCATCGATTAGCTTACCTTATGCTCTAAAGTAAATAAATGACCGTAGAAAACCGGGAAAGATAGTAAGGGCGTAAATAATGCTTACAGCTACAAAGGATAAGATGTTATGGAGAGCCATGATCGCCCATTTTACAAACGTATAAGGGACATTAAAAAATGGATTAACGACAGATTTCCTTTTTTCATCAATGCCTTGCGTCTTAGTGACTTTATCGCCTTGCTTGTGTTACAACAATTAAAGAAAACTAAGGAATATAGCTCGTTTAAAAAGGTTCCATGGAGATAACAATAGATTAGATCTTCCATACAAGGCATATTGAAGGCAATAGTCGCAAGGGGAAGCATCGAGTAGCTTACTTTATGCTCTTAAGCAAATAAATGGCTCTTGAGTAAATAGATGGCTCCTCATTGCGACTACTCACTCTCACATTGACTGCTGACCTGAGATGGAACAAATACATTGAGTCAATAGCTTCGTCCACCGCAAGGAAAGTTGGCTCCCTGTGCCGGGCCAGGAGATTTTCCTCGCCAGAGTCGATTCTTCAAATCTACAAATCACCCATTCTCCCTTACATGGAGTATTGCTGCCCTATATGGTCTGGTGCCCCTTACGTTTGCCTCAAGGATCTTGATAAGATCCAGAGACGGATATGCAATATAATTAGCCCAGATCTGGCATCTCACCAGCAGTCGCTCTCTCACAGACACGCCGTCACCTACCTCTGTTTTTTTTACAAATACTTTCATGGTAACTGCTCCGATGAGCTGCTTTCGCTGGTTCCAAGACTTCATAAATTTAAGCGTTCTACTAGGCTGGCATCTCGCTCTTACCCTTCCACTGCCGAAACTATTAAATGTAGCCGTCTCTTCTACTCCAATAACTTCATGTCTCTCACCTCTCGCCTGTGGAACTCCCTCCCATTTTCCTGTTTCCTATCTCCAACTATTCAAATGTAATGTCAATCGACCTCTCCCGTTGCCTTGATCTATCCACTATCCTTCTCTTCGTCCTTTCTTCTGTCACTCCTATTTGCTTCCCGGCTTGCTTGGGGTGAAACGCAAAAGAAAAGAAAGATCGGGAGAGATAGTAAGGACATAAATAATGCTTACATCTACAAAGGATAGGATGTTATGGAGAGCCATGATCGCCCATTTCATAAACGTATAACGGATATTAAAGAATGGATTAACAACAGATTTATAGTTATCTTAATAGACAGTATATGAAAGAGTAACCTGAAAAAAATGGCTTACCTCTGGCTCAAAACGGATTCGGACGTGTCTCGCGTGTAAAATATCTCAAAAAGAAAATGGCGTCTTTGTTTTACTTTTTATGTAGCATGCTCTCTCAGGACGTAGGCGATCATGGCTCTCTCCACCTCCTTCTATCCCTTGGAGCTCTCAACAAGTTCCTTGGTTCCTGATACGAGTTGCATATTTAACAAAAATTAACTTTCGCGAGACTCTTTTTTGCACTTATAAATAATTTAAACGGTCGCTCAAGCTATAAAAGTTCTTGAAGAACCAACAGAGAAGTGCGACTGTGTTAACGAACAGATGTCACGTGTGGTGGATTGGTTGACTTCCGGTACGCTGTTTGGTGAAAGAAACGAATCAGGGAACTTCATTCCAAGCAAGAAGAAACTGAGTAGAGTCTCCAGGCTGATAAACAAGAGATTGTGATTTCATAGCAGGACATTGTGAATATAATGAGAAGAGCATTTGAATAATGAGGAGAAAGAGGAACAAAAATGATACCTCTACTTGTAATCAGAAGGAGACAGCTGGAATTTTTGATGATGAGGAAAGGGGTCTTGGAGAATATGACAGAGGATGGGATTTTTTAACCAATTCATACCAAACAAGGCGAGAATGCCACTAAGAAGCAAGAGGCTACTGCGAGCGAAAGAGAACGGGAGGATTTTAAAGGAAACCGGAAACTCAATTCTAAACAGGAAATAAGGGATAAAACTCTACTCCTGCTCAAAAGACCGAGGTGGAGTGTGAACCGGATGAGCGACAAACCTATCTACTGCTATTGAAAAAAAAATTTAAAAAATATTTAATAAATAAAATTTCAGAGTTTAGGTGGAGACGTTAGAAGGAGACATGAGAAGGAACCAGAAACACAATCTTAAACAGAAAACAAGAGATAAACCTCTACTCTTGTTCAAAAGACATGCTTTGAATATTCCTGAAACGTCTGGTCTGGTGCTTCTGCTATGCATTTAGGGATTCTTGATAAAATACAAAGGCGAATCTGTAATATTATTGTCCTGACCTGGCATCTCGGCTTCAGTCATATTCTTATCGCCGTAACGTAGCTTCCCTGTGCCTTTTCTATAAATACTTTCATGACAATTGCTCTGATGAAATTTCCTCGGTAGTACCTAGACTTTATAAATCTAAGCGCAGTACTAGATTGGCAGCTAGGTCTCATCCTTTTTATAGTTGAAATGTGTAACCATAAGTCCTATGCTAACAGTTTCTTCCCTCGCTTCGGAACTTTCTTCAGGTTCTTGCTTTCCAGTCAATGTTGATCTTCAAAGATCTAAATACAATATCAATGGTTACCTCCTGTCTTGTTAATTCATCTTTTTTTATTGTTCATTCTCTAATGTTTTCTTTGTCACATATTCTTTTACACTCAGTAACCCTTGTGTTGTAGTGGCGTTAATGTGTTGCTTGATGGTCATTATGAAATGATTCATAAAAGACTGCGAATAACAATCTTCTGAAAATGGATGGCAGAACAAGAAATGGAATGGATACTAAAGGCCCCAAAAATAAAGTATAATGTACCGAAAAAAATATAGCTAAGAACAATAAATGATAGGAAGTTATGGAGGGCCATAAGCGCCCACATTCTAAATGAAAACGGCACATAGAATAAGAAGAACCAGTTTTGCGCCTGTTATCATAAATTACATTAGCAGCTTCTTTATTCAATTAACTTTTCATATAAGGATTTTAGTCAGAAATAATTACTGGACTGAATGACATTTTATACATGTCCGCCAACTCCTGCGTCAAAGATAACTTTCAAAAACTGACATAGATAGATAGATAGATAGATAGATAAATGTGAACAAACCTAGATAGTTAGACAGATTTAAAAAGATTGTGATAGACGAATAGATTTTAAAAGACTGTTATATATATATATATATATATATATATATATATATATATATATATATATAGAGAGAGAGAGAGAGATAGATAGATAGATAGATAGATAGATAGATACTGAAAATTGAGAATAGTTTTGAAAAATAAAGTATCGAAAGTAAACTACATCCAGCAGCAAGGCCTCTGATCAGGAGCTTTTGAGGAGCGTGGAACTACCTCTTAATTGCTGGTGTTCCCAGGTCCACCCTGACCCAGTGTGGCAGCACCTGTTAGGGTCCCAACTATGGGCAAATATTTAACTATTACCAGCAATACTTTTTTGAAAAAATTTTTACCAGCAATACAATTTTGAAGGAAAATATTACCATAAAAATATTTTTAACAAAACAAAATATTACCAGCAATAAAAAGATGCTGTCGGCATTAAATAACCGCTTGAGGTTGATTTACCGTAAAACAAAATAAACCAAACCAAAGCAAAGTATCGAAAAAACCCAAACATTGCTTAAAACAATAAATAATAGGAAGTTATGGAGAGCCATAATTGTCCACAGTCTGAAGGGAAACGTCACATGGAATGAGAAAAACTAGTCCTTACATAAGCAGCTTCTTTATTCAATTAATTTTTGATATAAGGATTTTAGTCAGAAATCAATACAGGACTGAATGACATTTTACACATGCCCCCCCCCAACTCCTGCGGCAAAGTGTGTTTCAAACTTCCGTCTTTGGGAAAATCGAGTGTTTTCAAACTACAAGTAACTGGTAATCGTGGTTTGAAATCAATTTGCCACCCATGCGTGCAAATGTCAACTTGTTAAGCGACACAATCACAAAGGTCAATCAAAATTTATTCTGACATGCGCAGCTAGAATATTCTCTTTGAAAAGGCCATGCCTAAGATTCCAACTACTGACTTTTATTCTTTTGGTCAAAGTAACCAGATGTGATTCTCCATCAAGCCGATGACACAGACATTATACCTTAACTGAGTGGTTAGCACAGGTGCCGATCCAAATTTAGAGAAAAGAGGGATAAAATAAAAGACAAAACAGTTGAAATAAGGCAAATATATTTAGAATTTGAGGAAATAAAACCTCAGAAAGATAGGAAAATATTTTAGATAGATATGAAAAGACTGAGGTATATATATATATATATATATATATATATATATATATATATATATATATATATATTGCCTGTTGCCTCTACGTGTTGACTTCTATGTTCACTTTTATATTTACACACGCTCTACCTCTGATATTGAGCACTTTACCCCATAAATATAGCACATCTTAAGACTATATATATATATATATATATATATATATATATATATATATATATATATATATAATGTGGGAACCTAGGTAGGTAGTACCTGACTCATTAGGATTTATTTATATTATTTTGCTCTACTTAGTGTATTGATCACTCTTCGTTTTAACTTATTACTCGATGGTTTTTTTTCTTTGTACCAGAATTGTAAGGTACTGGATGATTTCTTTCGCCCTGTTTGGAGATTTCTGGTGCTTTTTGTTTTTTCCATTTTTCCTCGGATGCCAATTTGTTTGAAAATTGTGCTATCCAGTTTTTTCCACCCAAAGAATTTAAATAGATTTACATTATATATATATATATATATATATTTTAGTTGTATTGATACGAGTTTGTGAATCAGTCAGTCTGTCTGAAAGGGCGTGAAACCCAGGTTCACAAAACCACATCAATACAAATAAGTATATATATATATATATATATATATATATATATATATATATATATATATATATATACTTAGAAACGATGAAAGCTGACCAAAGCGCGGTTTCGACCTCTACGGTCTCCTCTGGTGGTTTGTTCAACAAATCAACTACACGGAGCTCAACAATTTAAGCACTTTCGAACTGGAAGTAGTGGGGAAAAAAAAGAAGATTTTTTTAACTTGAACCGGTTTCAAATAACACCAAGCTGAACTTCTTAAAAATCTGCATTTGGTCATGATCTCTGTCCACCTGTTCAGTAAGCCATTGCTGTTTTTGTATGTTGTTATAGCCAGTTTCACTTCTTGGCATATCCTATACGTATTTTCAAATATTATGTTAGTCTTTAATTTATTTAAAATGTTCCATTAAATGCTTGGACTTTTGCTATTTCTCTCCTTAAACCTCAAGTTGTAGCTTGCTAGTTTCGTGTTGTACGTATGTTCGGAAATTCTAAAGGATGAGGTGTGATTGTACCACCCACTCGTGAACTGGCCCTCAGTACACCCGATATATATATATTTTTGTTCTACTATTTTCACCTTCCACTTAGGCACACTATACAACCGGCTCAGTACGACATAATCCATTTAAAGGACAGTTATTTTTTGTCTTACAATTACATAAGGTCGTATTCTCGCTTTTCACGTAGCTTTAAATTTCTGTTATTCATTCTTTTTATGATGTTGCCCATACTGCTTGTGCGGCTATAACTTAATTTGACCGTATTTCGGTTAAATAGCTTAAGCATTCCCGACGTATTATGGAAGTGTTTATCTAATGTATTAAAAAAACATCTTACCTATTTTGTTTTCTATTTCCCTGGATGATTTTTCTAAAAAAAAAAATTAAATAAAAGCTAAGATCACACCCAATTTAAAGCTCTTCGTAATCTGTGAACTGTACTTGTGAGTACAATTTTCTTTTTGTATTTCTTTAAGGCATGGGTGACCGGAAATCCCATCAATGAGTCTATCAGAACATTTTCCAATCATTCCGGAATTATTGATCTCCTCATGTGCCACATTTTTTAAATTTTCACTTCAAGATCCTTGTACTTAAACGATATCTTCTTCTTCTTCTTCTTCTTCTTCTTATTATTATTATTATCATCATCATCATTCGATTTCTGCTATGGACACACTACCTCAAGTCTGCGGAAAAGACCTAAGGCGGGTCGTGGTGTGTTGTCATGCCCACATTTCATATTAATTTTTTTTTTTTTTTTTTTTTTATCTCCGATGAAGTTGCTAGCGTTACATAGACAAAGTTCTCCTTAGTCATTGCTGTACTTAATAAGACAATTTTCTTTATGTCTCTTAGCTGGGGTTTCAGGGATTCTTTCAATGTGTTTGTTTTGTCCATTTTTTTATAATTCCAAGTGCACCTCTTTTACCACTGGTATTATTCTTGTTTTCAATTTCCATTTTTTCTATTTCAATTTCCAGGTCTTTTTGTATTTTGATAGTTTTTCAAATTCCTTGGTTGCTATTTTACCAATCCGCTGGACAAGCCAATATCAATTAGTAGGCAATTTTTTTTTTCTGTTTTTTGACAATGATGTCAATTTCTTCAATTTTTTCTGTCTGTGTGGATGGTATAATCCCATAGAATGGTGACATCTTCTATTTCTGTAAATGTTCATACCAGTGTTTTCGAATTTTCCAAAGTGTTTGATTAAAAGTGTAAGTATTGCCCCCCTCTATCGTGACGATTTTTTATATTCATTTGGGGCAAATATAGAACATCCTGAGATTAGATGGTCTATTGTTAAGTATTTGTCCACAGAACCTGCATTTTGGATCCACATTATTATATATGATATTTGCCTGAAAATTCCTAGTGAAAAGACTCTGGTCTTGCGCTGCAAAATTTTTCAGACTTTAATCCAGATGCTAAAAACCATCGATGAGAATTAACTTTATCAACAAAAGGTTTTATTTGCACGTTCTGGATATTGGCCATGCAGAGGTTTGTCTTGCCAGCGTTGTTTCATCTGTTCAAGGGCTTTAGTGGCTTTCTTTTTCATATCTTTTGCAAATAGTTGGTTTCTTGGCTTCTGTTTTGATTTACTACAGAATCTACTAAATGTAAATGTTGTTTGTATTTACTGCCTTCTTTTATTATTGAATATTTTTTTTTTCTGTTTTCATGTTGTTTCACTAATTTTTCATTCATTTGTTGTTTCCATGTAAGTTAGTAAGCCAATAGTTGTTGTCTTTTTTCAATTTAGCTGAATAAGACCTCTTCCACCTTCTTTACGGGGTATGTATAGACAGTCTCATCAGCCTTTGGATGATGCATCTTATGTATAAAAGAAGTTCTTTCTTGTTTTAGAATCCATTTGTCTGATGTCATTTAGAATCCAGTTCAAGATGTTGAAACTATATTGGACCACTGGGATGGCAAGGTTATTAATGGCCATAATTCTGTTCTGAAAATTCAATTCAGAATTTTTTAATACCAGTGGTACCCTTCTATAGTACTCTTTACGCACTTTTCTTTCATTTTCTTATGGTGAATTCCTTCACTCTCAAACCTAGGTATATAAGCTTCTCCTTGTTCTAAATCTTTTATTGTTACAGCAGGGTCTAAACTAATAGAGGAAGTTTGTTGAGGCGATCCTCGTAAAACTGTAGCTTTAGCACATTTATGGAATTTCATTCCAATGTCTTCACTGTTGCATTTTGTTTCAGAAGACCTTCAGCTCATTGTCATTCCCTATGCATACAATTTTAAGTCATCCATTAAAATTGGTTTATTTTCTTTTGAGCTATTTTTGAAACCGCATTCTGTCTTGTTAAGTTGGTTGGTTAATGCTATAAGTGATATACCAAAAATAATAAAAGGAGACAAAGTCACCTTGAAATATTCCTCTATTGATGTTTATTTCGCCAGACTTATAGGTTCCATTTTTATGATTGAGGAAGAAAAGTTTTTCCAAATCGACATACATTGTTTGATGAAATTGATGATAACGGGTGATACATGTACATATTTAAAGACTTTAAGATCCAGGAATGTGGTACACTATCGAATGCTTTACGATAATCTATCCAGGCAATACTAAGATTTTTTTTCCACGGATATAGTTTTCCAGGATCATCCTATTAATAAGTAATTGGTCTTTTTTTGCCTCGTTTGCACCCTTTTTTTTCAAGTGGTAGTATGTCATTTCTTTCCAAGAAGAAATATGTCTATTTTATTAAATAGATGTTTAACAGTTTGTATGTTGTTGGAAGACATGTAATTGGTCTATAGTTTTTGGAATATTTTTGTCACTATTTTAACTCCTTTGGTCATCCATGCAGGAATTTTTTGGATCGGTAACCATTTCTTGAAGTTCTTTGTGAGTTTTTTGTGCTGTATTTAAATAATATACAGAAGTTTGAATTTTATCTATTCCTGGAGATTTCCAGTTGTGTGCTTTTCAATTGCACATTTAACATCTTCTTCTGTGATTCCTGCCATGTCTGTTCTGGTTTTATTTTCATTCGTTCTAACTCTTGCGCAATCCAATCTGCCCTCTTCGTTGTGTTCTTTAAGGCAAGCCCATATTTTCCCCAGAACTGTTTTCAATTCTTTGTTTACCTATTTCCTATAAAATTTCTTTGCATCATTCTTGAAAGATTATTAATATTATTATTATTCCTATTATTATTTTATTATTTTAGTATTATTATTTCATTTTTGAGAGGGACCTAAGGTTAGCATCACTTTTCCTGACAAAAAATTACATAGATAAAGCCCTTCGTAAATGCAAGTAAAACAGAACAATTTTTGTATCTCTTTGGAGGCTATGGACTTCCAGGAAATCCCTTCAAAGTCTACTGTAGGGCTCCAATCAGGATTGTTGATGTATCCATATGCCACATTTTTGATATTTCTATTTCAAAGTCCTTGTATTTTGACAACTTTTGAATATCTTTACATTAGTCAGCAGGGACTGCTATATCAAAAAGAAGGCACTTTTTTGTTTGTGGTCTTTAATAACAATATCTGGGCGGTTGACTTTGTGTGTATTGTGAGTCCCATAGAATTGTAATAGTTCCTATCTCCGTAACCGGGTCTGGATTTGTTCTTTTATTATTATTATTATTATTATTATTATTATTATTATTATTATTATTATTTCCTTTGATTTCTGTTGCATACATTTCCATCTGGGCCACAACCAGAGGCCTAAGATCAGAAACAGCATCATAACATTTTACACTGATCATTTTTGTCAAAAAACACCACCTAAGATCACACACATTTTACATAGATAAAGCACTTTATAATGTGGGAACTGTACTTGTGAGTCCAATTTTTTTGTATTTCTTTCAGTCATGGGCTAACGGGAATCCCTTCAGTGAGTATATCAGACACTTTTCCAATCAATCCGAGGGTTCCAACTCCAACATGAATTATTGATGTTCTCATGTGCTACATTTTGGAGATTTCCACTTTAATCTTTATATTTTAGTAGTTTTTGAGGATCTTCAAAGATATATTGCAATCTGCATCATTTTCTGTTCTTATTTTTGTTTAGCGGCATATCAAGACCTGGGTTGTTTAATAGCAAAGCTTAAATATTTTGTACTTAATTTTATTTATTTTTATTTTAGATACTAAAAATTTAAGGATACATGTCTTACTAATTAACCCATACCTGGGGAAAAGAGGTAAATTCATAACTACATTCCCAAGTGTATTTGCGCGTAACTGAACGAACCCAACTGGGATTGGAACTCGTCTCTCCAGTTTACAATTCCTAATCATTTACCCTTACACTGCCTGAACTTTCAAGCTTACAACAGTTGATATTCTCAAGCGGTCACCCATCTAAGTACTGACTAAATTCTACGTTGCTTAAATTTGGTAAGCGGTATTGCAACGTGATGTGACTGTAAGCCGGAGATAATGAGCATGAAGATTGTTGTTTGTTGTTTGTTGTTTTTCAATCGAAACCATTTTTTTTTTCATTTTGTAATAACGATTTTCGCTTATTAAGGATAATATTCTCTTCGGGCGCCACACGTACTGCCGAGTAGTCATCTGTTTGCGAAACATTATTATTTCTAATAATTATTACAACTTGCACTTGAATTGCAGACATCTTTTTCTTATATTTTTCCTAATCAGGAAAATATTTTTACATCTGTCTTTTTTTATTTATTCATTACAGACACTACTGACATAACCTAATGGCGACAATACTTCTTCTGATACTGTTGGCTGTTTTTAACCAATACAAAGCAGCACTGATTATCGATGGTGAGTACTATATATATATATATATATGTGTGTGTGTGTGTGTGTGCAAATATATTGAAAAATAGGAAAGAACCATTAGGTTAATAATCCGAAGTTCTTTAGTATTTTAGTTTTTATTTAAACAAAAAAAAAGTGTGCGATAGACAAGTATAGGCTACATTCTTTTCGAAAGTAACTAATATATTGATACAATAGTTGTCAGTGAAAATGGATACCGTACCACTCCTTATTAAAATGATTGGTTTTCTCCGTATCCATAGAAACGAATATTACGAATGTATATGCTTATAAAGCCCCGTAAATTTCAAAATTAGTTATACCAAAATTTGCTTGAGGATGAAACAGAATTAGGTACTTTAATTTTAATTTAAT